AGGACTATTTTTTTTAAAATATATTTATTTAGGGGGTTATTCAATTAATTTTAATTTTAAAATAATTATTTATTACATTATAAAAAAATAAACCAAAATATTTAAATGCTTCTACATTAACAACTATAAATATAGATGGCATTAAATATTTCCTGGGTAAATTTGTTAAAAAAATTACATAAAATTTAATCAAATTTTGAATATTTTTTTTTAAAGATTACGATATTTACCTATCATAGCTATAATATCCCTAGTAATCTATTGGATATTGCTAAATGATCTCATTTTATAAATTAAACCTTTATAAGACACCATATCCGGGACTCAAAAATATGGCTATATAAGTATCAAAACAACAGTTGTTCGTTGATCATCAAATTCGTGTAACGATTGGAATATTTTGATAAATTATAAATTATAATGTATTAATTATTTTTATTTTTATCTAATTTATTATAAAAGTCTAAAGTATTAACATATTTTTTTATCGAAATTAATGGATACAAAATATTTACAAAATAGATTAACATTTTAAGAAATTCTAAAATATTTTCAAATATTTAAAAAAAGTCTTTTTACAAAAAAATGATTGAAATTTAATCAAAAATCCGACTTGAACATTCTCATGTAAGATCCAAAATTTTTTTCCCATTTTTTCATCACAAATTATATATTTACAAATATAATTTCTTTTTATTATTTAAACATATGATTTATTCTTAATTATTTGCTTGTACATATTTAATTTTCAATGTGTATTAATTTAAAATAAAATTTTATTTAGTTTTCAACCCCCCCCCCCCCCCCCCCTCCCCCCTCCCTCCTTCCAACCACTTTAATTGTATATTTAATAATGACACTCGTTTTACGGTAAAGTTGAAAAAATAATACATTGCAGTAAAAGAAATACATTGACGCTAACAGATACATATATTATTATAATTTTATTGAAATATACTTTATTCGATAAAAAAAAATTACAAATTTCGCATGATTCATTTTTATTTTACATTTTTTTTACAGCTCCAAAACCCTCACTTTAAGATCCTCAAGGTTCAAATATGGTTAAAAATAACTATACTAAGTCGAGATTGATGTTAACATAAAAGTTGATATTGGTAAATTAACATTTAAAGAGGCAAAATTAGCTGATCAATATTCTCTGAATTTATCATCATTACTATTTGATTGATAGTATTGGTTATAAAAATTAATGTAATCTTTAATTTTCTATCCCATTTGTATTGGTATTGAAAAACCAAGATAAAATTGGTATAGTTATCAGTTCTATTAAGAAAGAGTGTATACATATTTTTTAAATTTAATCGGAATTTAGGCCATATTAGTAATAGACTCCTTGAATATGCATTTATAAATATAATTATTCAATTCATGTTTTTTTTGAAAAATATCATAAATAAAATGATATAAAAATTTTAAATAGTTTATTTACTTAACACTGTGTCCTAAATATCAAAAATATTTTTATTCTAAGAATTTACAAGATAAAATCATAATTTTTTGTAGATTATATATATTAAATTTATGAATTAATGAAATAAAATTAATCATAACTCTTAAAAATTGTTTATTAATTACTAAATGGTTATAATTGTATTAATCTGATGTCTTTAATCATCTTTACATTAAATAATACGTATTTTTTGAGTTATTTTTTAATAAAATATTTAAAAGATTTAATTTATCTTTATAAAAATTCCTAAAAATCCAGGAAATTAAATTTTATTTACATTATTATAAAGATATTTTTATTAAAAGTTGTTAACAATTTAAAAAATTTTTTTTTTAAAAAAATAAAAACATGAATATTTAATGCCTACATTAGCAAAATATTTATCTATAACATAATTAAAAGTATAGATGGCATTAAATATTTTCAGGGTACATTTGTTAAATAGTTTCGATAAAATTATATAACCTTTAATTTCTCCCTCAATTTCTTATCAAAGCCCATCATAGCCACAATATCCTACCATTTTATCGGGCGTTAATAAACGATTTATAAGACATTTTAGAAATCGAACTTTTATAAGACACCGTATCTGGAACCCAAAAATAAGGTTATATAAGTTTCACGGTAAGCGCCATTAAATTAACTTTGCGCAGTGGCGATACCGTAACCGATGATGTTTTACCGAGGTGCGGTTATTGCTAGTTGAAAACTACTACCAATACCCCGCCACGCGTTCTTTACTGAATCGCGTAGGCAATTTTTACTCGGCCCTAAAACGGCCCCTCACTTAAAAAAAGTAAATTAGAAATTGTGTTCTTAGGATCTTCCATGGTGCTTCTTGATCTTTTTGATGGATCCATGGAAAAGGTCAACAATGAATGAAGGATAAGGGTAGAATGGAAAATCCTAGGAGGTTATAGGAATACTCGGCACTAAAACGATCCTTCATTGGAAGAAGATAGAAATGCAGGATCTTTTGATGGATCCCTGGCACAGGTCTGAAAAGAATGAGAAGAGAAGCTAAGGATGGAAAAATCGTACCAGGTTGGGAAACAGGGATTTTCAAGGATTTCTATCTGCAGTGTTTGTCGAGGGAGAGGTTCTTCAGTTAAAATAAAAATTTCCTAGGCCCCCAGCCAAATCATATTTAATATTATGCGAATATCTTAAAATTTTATAAGTAATTCATGAAAATATTAACATTATTTTTAAATGTATTTAGGCAATAATTTTTGAAATAAAGTTGAATTTATTATTAGACGAAAAAAAAATTCAATATTTTTTTTTAATAATTAGCAACTGTTTTGTATAAGCCACTAAATTTAAAGAAAAATTTATAAACTTTGACTATCTCTATTGTGGATTGGTGCTTTTAGCTTAAAAAATTGAATTAAGCTTCTAAGTCGAATCACAACTTGACAACACTATTTTATAGTTGACTAAAATTAGGCAGTTTCACAACACTACCCAAGCCAAAGCCAATTAATCAAAATAAATTCTAAACCCCAGATGTATGTAAAGAGAATGATGGTCGGCCCCATGAAGGCCTCTAATTGTAAGACGCTTTTGATTCATTGAATTTTGAATCTATTAATCAAGTAATCTTTTTAAGAATGCTCAAACAAAGATTTTGGTTCAAATTTTACCTACAAATCTTAATTTCAATGGGGAGATCTTTTATGATGAAATCACTGCATGAAATTTTGGGCCAACAAATGTTCATTTGTAGATTTTTATAAAAAAATTAAACTTCAACTTCTAAAATATTTTAAATTTGTATTTTAAAAACTTTAATATGAATTTTTCAAATTTTATATAAATTTAAAATATTTTTTTCCCTTTTGTTTTTAAATTTTGAATTCTAATCCATTTTTTGAAATAAGAATTTCTATTATAAAATTTAAATATGTGTGGAAATAAAATATATATATAAAAAAAATAAGAATGATAATTTATATATGATTTCTTAATCCAAAAATGTTGATTTGCTACTAAATTTCGACAATTTTGCGATGAACTTTAATAAAAATAAAATTTTTATCAGATTTTCCATAAATTTTTTTTATATAAATTATGAATGGCTCAAAAGTTAACATCAAAATTGTTTGTATTTCATAAGATAGATATTCTAAACATGATGGAATACATTGCCGGAAAGAACAGATTGACGAAAACATCTATATATATATATATATAAAGTAACCATTGAATGTATATTCTTACTTTTCTTAAAGATATAAAACTTTAGACAAACACAAATGTATATTATAAAAAAATATTTATATTATGGGTAATTTGATTTGTATGTACTTGTATTTAGAGTGTAGTTAGATTTGGAATTCTGATTATTAATTTAATTAAATCTAAAAATATATCCCGGGTGGGGCTTAATTTTTTTTTTTAACACAACTGTTGCTAGGACATAAGAAAATGAATTTAAATTATAACAAATTACAGTTGGGAAGCGAAGAAACATTTAACTAATCATATTTCTCATTTTCCTTCTTAAACGATTTTTTAAAAAAATACCGCCAAATTATGTTTTAAAAATCTGGTACTTGTGGAAGATGTAAAATAATCAAATAATAACCGGAATAAAAATCTTGTTAAAATCTGGACCGAGCCCAAAATTTTAAACTCCTCTCATGTCTCTTAAAATGAATGCATTAAATTAAAAAGAGATGTAAATTATAAAAAAATTGAAAATATATATCATTGTTCTTTGGCTCAAGCTCAACCGGCATATTATTATATATGCGGTTGTCCTATCTGGTATGGTATGAATAAGAAAGAAAGAAAGAAAGAAAGAAAGAAAGAAAGAAAGAAAGAAAGAAAGAAAGAAAGAAAGAAAGAAAGAAAGAAAGAAAGAAAGAAAGAAAGAAAGAAAGAAAGAAAGAAATTATCATTTTGTCAAATTAACAAAATAAATAAATTGATGTGTTATTTTTACAAAATTTAAATCATTTTTTTTGAGCCCCTTTTTTTAAAAAAAAAATTTTAAAATCAGATTTTTACCGGAAATATATTTCTATTGTTTGGAATACCTATCTCTTATGAATTGTACACAATTTTGCTGTAAAGAAAGAAAGAAAGAAAGAAAGAAAGAAAGAAAGAAAGAAAGAAAGAAAGAAAGAAAGAAAGAAAGAAGAAATTCATAGAGTAGGTATTCAAAACATCATCATGGAATACATTTTCGAGTAAAAATTAGATTTTTCGCTCAAAAAGATGATTTAAATTTGAAAAAATAATACATTTGCCGGAATAAAACACATTGGCGCTAACATGTAATATTAAAAATCGTATCGATTCTATATGTAACAAAAAAACGAGAATAGGAAAATTTATAAGTTCCTTACCTATATCGTTTTTTATATACTTTTCTAAACCAAAAATGAATTATTATTTTTTTGTTAATTTTAGATTTGAATAATTTTTCTTTTGATAATTTTCCTTTTCCATCCCCAAGAAATGTAATTTTAAATATGCCAACTTGATTGGACAGATATTTCATAATTTTTATTTGGTCCTATAATAATTTATTCGATATACAAAAATATATATAAATTATTTAAATAATGATCACAGCTCAGCTGCTTTTCAAAAACATCTGTTAACTTTAGAACTAAAAAAAATAAGTTCGGGTTACAGTGTCTCCATTTGTGATATGTTTTGATTCATGTAGGAATTCTATTTAGTATTTTTTTGTATAAAAAAAAATTAAAACACGTGTTAGATTTAAGTTAGGTTAAGAATTCTAACTTTAATTTCATAGATCCTTACCATCACGTGGTCAGGATTTTTCTAGAAAAAATAATTTTGCCAGTATAATAGAGTCGTGGCTCGAATCAGACCAAATCTAACTTAGCAAAAATAGGATTGAAGGAATTTCGGCAGATAGCAGCCCAAATCGGTTAAATGGCCGGGGCTGATTTGAACCAAATAATTACTATGGGTAAAACTATAAATTATTTTGTGTTCCCGCTATTTTTAAAAAATATTATTTTTCGAAAGAAAAAACAATTTTTTTTAAAATTTTTAATTTGCTTTTCTAAGCGTTTAAAATAATTCCGCCTTTCTCGAAAAAAATCGTATTATACGTTTTGGTTAATCTAAAATTTCCCTTAAAAATTTTGTTTTCAGCGTGTGATCACAGATCCAATTTTTGGGATCAGACTGGAATCGGATAGTTAAAATAAAAGTATTTGGATAGGAATGAGATCAATGCGAGCCGCTATTAACTAGCGAATGCAAAAAATTAATCATTAAACAAAATATGACGTTAACATAAATCTGGCTAGGGTGGGTTTCTAATTGTAAAAATTTGTATATTATCATCTTTCATTTAAATCGATTATGTATTCAAAAAACAAATAACGACCACTTAAATATCAAATTGCTCGTTAATTTTACCTTATAGTGGTGGAGCACAAATTTAGCGTTTCAAACGCAGCGTTTTTAAAAACGCAAATAATACATTTTTAAAAATAACATTCGTTTAAATTTGGATAGCAATTTTTTTTTTGCTTTAAATTTAAGACATTTCATATTAATAAAAAGAAAAATTAGCGTTTCAAATTTAAACATAGCAGCGTCTACGTTTTTTTTTGCGTTTTGAAACGCGGCGTTGAAAAACGTTCAACTTGTGTTCGTGCGCACTATTATCATGCACAAATAATATCGATTAAAAAAAATTAATCTTTAGAAACCTTTAAACAGGAACTCTCGAATTCTTCTCTGGAAATGAGCCCATCTTTATTAGAATCCATCTTCTGAATTTTATATTTATTTATTTTTATATATAAAAAGCCATAATTAAGATACTTTTTTTTTTGGGGGGGGGGGGAAGTATTTTCTACTAAATTAAATACTTTAAGTGATATCTAATTTAAAATACAAAAAAAAATTATATTTATGTAAAATCTAACTTTTCTAACGAGAAAAAATAAATTAAAAATTAGGTATGAATCTGGGTTTGATTGTATTTCTAATTATAATTAGGATTATACAGAGACCTTCATGCCGCCACCAATCGGATATTTTATATTCCAGCGTACCTGAGCAGGACATGAGGTTTTTTTTAAAAAAAAGAATTTTATGGGTGTAGACCAAATTTTTTATCATTTTAGCTTATTTAAAACAGTTGAAAACTTTTAAAAAAAATATCGTAAATTTTAGTCTTCTAATGATAATGAATTTCAAATTTTGTTTATTTTAAAATTAAATAAATAATTAAATTTTTGTATATAAGTTTTTGGGTAATTTTTTTTTTATATAATAAGGATTTAATTTAAATGAAATTAAATATCAATTTTTTAAATAATTTTATCATAAAATTATTTTTGTCAATTTTTTATCACGTTTAAGATTTGAGAATTTATTTTAAATACTGTTTGTAACTGTTGTAATTTAATTGAACTAATTCGATATTTTATATAAAATAATTGACGTGGCGGAAAAAATATGAAAATAAATATAAATAATTCTTAAAAAAAAATGGAGATATAATAGGAACTTACTTACTTCAACCAATAAAATCTTTTTAACAAAATCAACTTTTCTTTACTAATACTTTTAACATTTATATCATTATTGGAGTATTTCCACTCGCGTAAATGTTTAAAATGAGGAAATCACAACATTAAAGTTTAAAATCAAATACAGGAAAAAGTTATTGATCAATTTTGACAGAGCTATTACTTTAAGAAAAATTTTGTTGTTTTTATTCTAATTTTTATTTATATATATATATTGGGAATAAATAAGTTATTATATCCACATTTTAACTTAAAAATTTTGAAAATGTCAAGTGGAGCACTTCAATTCTAGACTGACGATATATTCTGTCATTTTAAAATATATATTCTAACTAAGGAGATTCTTTAAAAATGGCGGGGAAATAATGACTCATATTGAATCTGTTTTCGTTTGTTTAGATTGATTTCTTTCGTAATTCGATAAAATAATTTATGATTGATTGACACTTATATTCAATTTATTCAATGTTGTTTCGTGGTTAATTTATACTGACCCATATCAACCCCTATATTCTTTCTATCTAATCCAGGCATGGAAGCGTGATAGAAAAAAAAATTCAATTTCAGCTAAATCTTGGTAGCCTATCAAGATATATTGCCTGACATAATTATTAAATTGGATTGAAGGTGAAATAAAAATTCGACCAGCTTGCATCTTTCCCCAGTTTCACTTTTACTATACAAACTTAAAGGTATATAGATATATATATAAAACCTTGAAAACCCTTTCAACGTGATCCAATATCACGTGGTACCGTTCCTGTAGAACTTCGGTTTGATTCGATAGCAAATATATGGAAGTGACTACTTCTATCATCTCGGCTTTGCATATCACGCCATCTTTGTTAGAATCGTACATTCCAAAAATCCAATCTAATTTGTCCCGGTAAGTGCCTCGAGAAATTTTGGACAGCAATATTATAAATTCCTGTATTTTTTTTTTAAAAATATAATTTTGGAGTGGCAGGTGTGGCTCAGAGATTCGATACTTTGACTGAGGAGCAGTGATTTAGATATCAGCTCTGGATAATTTATTCTTTCTGAAATCAATTTTGCCGACCTGGTTAGGAGTTGGAATTAAAGGTTACAGTGGCACAGGTTTAGGGTTAGTAGGGAAGACTGGAGATCTTATGAGCTCTAGACTATTGTGAGCATTGAGTTTTAATAGTACTCAACTCTAATGGTTAATTTTTAACAAACTATCTATAAGAAAAATATATTTAAGAAAAAGTGAAAAAAACTGTATATAATTCAATTATCATAAATGCATCTAAAATGTTTTGGGTCTTTGTCCTAAGTAAATGTTCCTTTTTCGAATTGATCCTATTGCAAATTTTATTTGTTTAAATTGTCAATAAATTTTGTTAATTTGTCCATTATGGCTTTATATATCAATAATATAGTTACAATGATTTTTTGTTTGTTTGTTTCCTTTTTATCTTCTTTCTTTCTTTCTTTCTTTCTTTCTTTCTTTCTTTCTTTCTTTCTTTCTTTCTTTCTTTCTTTCTTTCTTTCTTATTCTTTCAATATATATATATCCTTTTTATGTTTAAAAAATAATCAATATTAAGCAGCTTCAAAAACGACTCATAGTAGAGCTCATTCTTACCCCGGTGTAGCAGATCCTTTCCCCAAATATTTTTTCCGGAAAAATTAATATTGTTAAATAAGTATTTTTTTTTAAAAAAAAATTAATTTTTATGTATATCATAAAAGTATATTATTTTTTTCGGTATTATTAAGTATAGTTTTAATTTTATTGACGTTTATTACATTTATTGACAGCCTTCTTTTTTGATGTAAATAAAATATATCATTTCTAACTTTAATCATTTCGGACTTTATGACACGAGTATTTTTTTTTAAGATAGGCAAAATAAATTTAATATAATGATACTTTAAAAAATTTAAAATTGTCAATAATAATTTCTTAGATTGACAGTTCATTTATTTGAAAGATGGCACTTTTAAAAGATCCCTCGTAAACCAAATCGGGTTGGTTAACCACGCCATTTTGATTTCGCAACATACGCATTGTAAATTTTGGGCGGGAAATATTAAAATGGCGTATAACCAGCTGATTCGTAACTGATACCATATTTTGATGAGTGAATCGTCAGTCTAGTTAGTTAGATTTCATTGGAAAATGGTACATATCCCTTTAAGTCTGAACAGTTAACATTACTAGCGCGATACGCCTTAATCAGATAAAATGATATATTCATAGCGGGAACCGTAGTAACATAAAATTCGCTAGTTATCCTAATATACTATTACGAAAAGTAAATCACATTTTTGGGATATAGTCTTATATTGAATCTTTGTTTTTTGCCGTTTACTTCATTTATTAGTAAACGCGTTTTTTTTTCTCAAGCGGTTCGGTATTCAACGCTATGGAAATCACAGCTGATTCTTCACAGCGATAATAAATTTTTTTTAAGATAATTATGTCGCAACATATGTTTTTCAAATCTTCATCGTTTCACTCCATAATTATAAATTATAAACCTATTTTATTTATTGGCTTATTTTGTTTTAATAACGCAGCGTTAAATACCCTACCGCTCGAACAAATTTTTACTAAAAGAGAGGCGTAACGCGTCTCTTGTTTGAATCGAGGTCGCCATCTTTATCAGTGTATCGTCGATTCAAGGAATTGATTTATGTAAATTATATTAATTAAAGTCGGAGACCTATAGAGGTCCTATTTGTATGGCCCGGCCCGGATTTTTACAAAAAATTTTAAACCCGACCCGGCTTTCAGGCCCAGCCCGGATTTTTACAAAAAATTTTAAACCCGACCCGACCCGGCCCGGATTTTTACAAAAAATTTTAAACCCGACCCGGCTTTCAGGCCCGGCCCGGATTTTTACAAAAAATTTAAACCCGACCCAACCCGGCTTTCAGGCCCGGCCCGTATTTTTACAAAAAATTTTAAACCCGACCCGGCCCGGCTTTTTACAAAAAATTTTAAACCCGACCCGGCCCGGCTTTCAGGCCCGGCCCGGATTTTTTTTTGAAAAATAGTTTTTATTTATTTTTTATTTTTACAGCTAATAATGGCGATTTTAAATATTCGGTTTTAAAGCCAGGCCTGGAGGTCTATTATTAACCTCTCGCTCTCTTAATTACATTAATTTTTAAATATTACATATTTTAAAGTAATAATATTATTTAAATTTACACATAATTAAACAAATCTAGGCGGGGGTCTTTTTACCCCACCCTCCCTTCCCAACCCGCCTCGCCTATTTTTTTTTATCTGGGGTAACACAGTTTTTTTTGCGGATTTCTCGGGGGCAAAAAAAAAAGTATCCTTAAAGGAACTGGTAGACCGATTCGCAAAAACGAATGAATAAAAAAAAGAAGTGTCTTACTTCGAAGTCCAGGAATCCTTTGTCGTTAGAGTCGAAACTTCTGAATATTTTTTGGGCGTAGAATTGTGAATCTTAAAATATAATAAAATACGGAAATGGGTTGAAATTTATTGTAAACGCCCTGTGACCAGTTAAGCAAAACTAAAAATAATTTTTTTTTATGAGGTTAGAACCGATGACGTATAATAATACGTAGACCGACGACGCGTTCATAATAACGCATTTTAAAAGCGTCGTTGAACGCGAATCAGCTGGATCCGCCATTTTGGTAAACCCATTATAGTACTTTTTCTCATGTTTAAAAAACTACTTTTAATAATTGATAACTTTTGCTTCCTTAATTATCTCTATGATCAGGCAATTTCTTTCGAATTTGCGTTCAGACACTCTCGTTTAAAATTGGGTAATCAAAATGGCTTCCCAAAGCTGTTTTTGATGTATACACTTTTTAATGAATGCATCGTTAGTTCTAGGTATTATTATATGTCATTGGACTATACATGACTTTTATATTTTTTAAAAAATGGCCTGGCTTATCAAAATATTTTTTTAACAAAGGGTCAAGCGGGTCAACGCACCGCCTGCGCTATTCGCTACCGAATTCTACGAAATATGCTATATTTAAGTTATTCGGTAACAAAGTGCTAACCGTGAATGCGTGGTTACTGCGGACCTATAATCTTGACTTTATTATAATTTGGCTCATATAAATTTGTATTACTACATTTAAAAAAATATATATATACAAGATATGCTGACATGATGGTTTTTAAAAGACCCCACCCCACCCAAACACTACTAACCCTTTTTAGCTTTTAGGGGTGGTTTAAACGATAGCTAAAGGTATACTATCTATAACCTGGTAAAACGTTATATAAAGCTCTGAACATTTTAAACGCCAAGTATAAGCTTCCGCAGGAGAGGAGAGGGGCGGAAGTAAAAATAAATATTTTCTAACACTCTTAAAGATTTAATCATTTTTAAAATTACGGAACTTAATGTGAGAAAAAGAATTAATATTTTTTAAGTTATATTTTAATGACTTTGGTGACTTTTAAAAAAAATTCGATATATTATTCTTGTTAAATATATAAAAAAATATTTTTTATAACAAAAAATAAATTTATTTTTTTGTATAATTGAATTTATATAGTTAATAATATAGTTATTTTTTATTATAAATACAAGAAAATATCGATTCGATGAAAGAATATACTTTGCTATAAAATAATTTTTTTTATAAAACCATTGATTGATAAGATAAGAAAAAAGATTAAAAATCCTTATATTTATTGTCTTTAAACAATATTTTGTTAAAAATGTTAAAAGAGAGTGTATCTTCCTCTTCCTGTCGGATAGTGCTGTTGCATCTCGATCATCGTGGATTGGGAGATTTTGTCGTAAAAGTCCAGCGGTCCGATTAGACACCTGTCAGACTAGACTCCTGCTAGACTAGACTCATGTCAGATTAAACTCCTGTCAGACTAGATTTCTGGAATTAATTTTTAAAAATTGACGCGGCTAATTAATAAACACTTGCTGCCCGAAATTACATTTAGTTATATATAATTTTCGATGTTTTTTAAAAAAAATATAGGATATAACTGGTTGACGTCGCGAAAAATGGTAAGGAAAGCCATCTGTCGCGCTCATAAGAGCTCTGCATCGAGGGGATCTGATTTTCTTTCCTGCCGATTGGATCCAAATGAAGTTTTTATCCAACCAATCCGATTAATCTTTTCAAAGATACGAGTCTGCGGAATGTAGAATAATCCAATTTGTCAATTTGTTTGGCGCGGGCCAAATAATTAATAGAAGACATGCCGGGGTGAGCTGAACATGTGAACATTTTGAGCCGGGGTTAGATGGGGTCCGAAAAATAGGTATAATATATACCTTTTGGCAGGTTTATAATTTACTAAATTTAGCCCGTTTATTGAGAGTGAATTGGACGACATTAAGATCACAGCCAGAAAGAATCCTACACATACTAAACACAGGCAGATGAAGTAATTGGTTGATTAATAGAGAATTTAGGACCATTCAATGAATGATAACAGAATTTAGGTAATAAATTTTTTTTCTAATAGGTCTAATAAATAGTTTATTAGCGATTTAGTAGCTATTATTTTTAAGAAAAATACTCATATACTAGAGTTATGAAGCGCATAATTGACAAAACGATACCAGCTTTCTACCCTGTATTTTTCGGTCAAATTTTCTCGGACAACTTTGAAAAATATTTTCTAGATGGTGAAAATTTTCCAATTAGTGGACATCCTCAGATTGTTATTTTAAAAGATAATTTATAAACTTAATCTTTCTTTTTTTTTTACTAAAACACGAATCAGATTAATTTAAATCAAAGTTAACTTAAATATTAATATATGCATCTGACACTTTATAACGTGTCACTCCCAAAATATATTTTCATGAGGTTAATGATAGCTTTCCTAGAGGATGTCCTTCTTTATAGTTAGCCTTCCATGTGGGAAGGGATTAAAAAAAATAGTGGGATAGAGGACTAAAATATCCGAAGTGTTGTCTTCCAATTTTTCGCTCCTATGTAGTATACGCTTGACGTGCATTATAGGGCGCTAAGTTCCGTTTTCATGTTTCGGGACGGAAAATATAAATTTATTCGGTAGTGTCACGTATAAGAAACGAATTAGGTAATAAATTCTCTGATAAAAGTGGTGGTTGTGTTTATTATAAATCTGTTATGTGGAAAAAAAAACGCATTTTACAATTCAGCACTAAACTTGGAAAACAGATGTGTCCATCATTAATAATAATTTTTATGACACATAAATTTGATTTTAAAAAATAAAGTATTAAGTCTTTTATAAGTCATTAAAATGGCATAATACTAAAAAAAATAAAAATGGGTAAAAGGTATTTTTTTTAAGTTAAACAAAGGATAAGCAAATGACTATTAGCCATTTGCCACGTCCTGATTGGTCACATTTCAAAGCAACTCTTTAGCCATCTATATAGATCCCTCTGTAAACAGCTTAATTAGGTGAAAGGGGTTATTTAGGTAGTGTTGCTAAAACGGCTCGTTTTAAGCCGATTCTTAAAAACGGCTTTAGCGCCTAAGCCTCAAGATTTTGATAATGTATGTCTAGGACCTAAGTAACAACACTAGTAAATGGTAACGATACTTCTGTTTTATAAATTGTAACCCCCAAAAAATTTATATATATATAAGTAACTAATAATTATTTATATAATGCACACACACATCACACCTAAAACTAAACCAAAATAGGGTGTTCGATTTCGAAATCTGTTTAGCCTGAGCATAAACAGAAATAAAGTTTCAAAAAATAGGAACGAACCAAAAACAACGGCCTTATATATATTATTTTTTTTCGGAACGTTTGGGGAACTGTTCAGGGAACAATCAATAAATCATTTTCATGAATAGGATCGGAAGTATCGTTTGCCAAGTTCCGTTCCCAGGCCCCCTAAAAGGAGTTACTATTTTTATAAACAACAATATATAATTAATTTACTGCCATGAGGAAAGAAGGAAGCGAAAATTTCTTTGAAGACGTCCGAGTCTATTATGCCATAAGGACAATACTAAAATAGAAAAAATTTTAAAAATAAAGGTTTAGAATTTTTTTTTAATTATAGTAGTTAAAACAAATTCTGATGATCACTCTGAACTCCTGAACTCCTCAAGGTAGCATAATTAGATTGGGGGGGGGGCTAATAGACCACCACTCCACCCCTCCCACACACCACCAGTTTAAGATACTAATAGGGGTAGTGTCGTTAAACTGCTCGTTTTGAGCTGATCTTTTAGCCTGAAAAATAATGCCCTGAGCATCGAGGCTTCGCTAATAAATTTATAAATCTAAATCTTCAGTCTTCTGGCTAGAATAATGAGTTAGCCGTTTATAAAAGTCCGAATCGAGCGGGTAGACAACACTGAATGGGGGATTGATGGAAATCATCTTTAAATTGTGTTAGATTTTGTTTTTATAGGAAATATCCTATCTGGCACCCCATCACAAAGGCGATTTTCCAGGTAAAGCGGGTAAGCTTTTTTTATTCTAAAAGCAATTCTAAGCAGTCTGCTTGTTTTTATCAGCCTGGAGAATGTTCATATCATATCGGGGAAGTAAGAAAGATGGGCTTGCGCTCAACCCTAGGAGAATGATAATGGAAGTCCACCCATCCCTTATGATACTCGACATATGTAAAAAATGGAGGCCGGAGGGGGGAGGAGACTTCACCTCCAAATTCCTCTTTTATGGAATCGAATTCCCAGCCTTTAAAGAAAAAAAAATAATTATGCATATTATTTTTCGAAATATTTATAATATAACGAGGAATTTTTTTCTTATAAATAATGATGATTGTTTTATAAATTTAAAAATTTTTTAAAAAATTGTTCTAAATAGTGCCCACAAATTGAACGTTTAAAACGCAGCGTTTTTTTTTAAAAACGCTAACAATGCATTTTTTTTAGAAGCGTTTTTTTTTTTGATTTAAATTTAAGACCCTAACCCTAACCATATTTTTTTTTAAAAAAAAAATAAATAGAAATTAACGGTTCAATTTTAAACATAGCTGCGTTTTTACGTTGTCGTTGTTTTTAATTTGCGTTTTTGAAAACGCTCAATTTGTGCGCAAGCGCACTATAATATAGAGCGTCCTATTATTGTTTATCAGATAAAACGTAACAAATGTGAGAACAGGGAAATTCAATAGAAAGAGGTTTTTTGGGATTTCTTTCTTTTTTTGGACGTAATTTTATAAAATGAGAAGTAGGAGCAATAATTTAGATTGGAGGCCTTGCGAAGAGCTTCCCATGAATGGACTAGGAAGAGCGAGAAGGACTAGGAAGAAAATCACTTAAAACATATGGGAAGATTTAGTAAATCGCAAAATATGCTGGGAAGATATTTCCAGGATAAGAGAGCAAAAAAGTGTTTTAGAGATTTTTAAAAAAAAATTAATTAAAATAATGGAACTTTTTTTATGAACAAATTTTTGATTCATCATACCTAAATTAATAAGTAGTCGGCTGAGTATTATAATGTTCTATTTCCAAGAAGGAAACAATGATTCGCATTAGTGATAATGTAATTCAGCCGAAATATGATTGTTTTAGCCTCTCGAGAGATTTGGTCTAATAGAGGTCCAAAATCTTTTCCACCGACTGTGAGGCAAATTCTTCAGTTTCGATATTATTTTTGCTAAAATCCTTAGGTGTGATCTTCTATTTAAAATACAAAGGAAACACTTGTTTTTTTTAAAAAAAATGTTTTTTTTCCTGAAAAAAAACGTTTAAAAAACACTGTAATACTTCAGGCGACAAAGGGGCAGCGGTTCTAATTAGACTTTTCAATTCTGAATTCTATTTAGGAAAAAAATCATCGTCACTTACTCAGAATAGCCATACAAGAATTTTAAAAATATTTTCAAAAAAAAAATTAAAATTAAATTTTTTTGTATTTTTTGAAACTTTAATTTTTAGAGAACGAAAAGTTCCTCTACAATAAAATTATCTATAAAAAAACGGTCTACATGAACGAGGGAAAAGGGGTAAGGTGGGTGGTAGGAAAAGTTTGCATCCATTTTTAAATTTAGAGAGGGGAGTATAATAAATTTATTGGGGGGGGGGGGGGTTACTTATTAAATTTTTTAGATATAATGAAAGTTTTATTAATGAACGTTTTTAATACGATGATATTTATAAACATCGAACTAAATTCATATATTACACACGATCATAAGACATTATTTTCCAAACAGAAACTATTTCTGGATAATTTTACGCTATCAGGGGGTTAGGCATGTAGGCCTAAATATATCTTAAATTTGTCAATTTTTTTATGTTTGAATTTTTTTTTATAAAAATATTTATATTCTATTTTTAATTTTGAGTATTAAATTATAATTTTTTTTTAAAAAAATATCGATTTCCATATTTAATTAAATTCGAAAAATGAATTCGAGTTCGGGCCGGGCCGGGTCGGGCTTGAGAAATTAGGCCCGATGCAGATCACTAGTAGGCATTCTATCAGTCAACTCACATTCATGTCAAACAATACACTTATAATAATGCGTCCATTGCGAATGAGGGGGGTTATTAATTGAATTCAAGTTTTCTAAAAATAAGTGACTCTTCTAAGATTCGCGATATTTAAGTAGAGCATTTTAATATTTTAAATTCTTTAAAAAATTTATGAAGGGGAGTACCATCGTAATGTGGGAATATTGGAGTGCGAAGGTGGCGGAAATTTTTTATGGGAGAGGGGGTAGGGTGGGTAAATCTAGGTTTTAGAAGGGAGGATTTTGCATCCAGTAAAAATCCTGTCGTGTAGACCCTGTCTAGAAAATCTAGTTATTATATTAAATTTTAAATCGTAAAGCTATTATATGTCATATATTTAAGGTGTATTGTTCCAGGCGGTGTAAGCTAATGCGAGTTATCAGTGCTGCGTATACTAGTGGCGATTTGGGAGTATCTCTTCGACAGGATAGAGGTTGTTGTGTTAAGTGTTTTAAACCCGTTTCCTGTTAATCATCGGGTGGAAAAATTTGGAAAATTAATTGTTGGTTATAGAAAATAAATTTTTTTTTTGTTGATAAATTGTATTTTTTTTTTTCAATTATTAAAAAACATATGATCTGGAGATTAAATAATTATCAAAATCTGTTATAGCACTTTATTTGACTAGCAGCACTGTTAATTATCAAACTCTCTATGTAATTTATATCGTAAAATCCTGAAAAAATTTTTCTTTACAAGAAAATTATCGAATAAATATCATTAAGCGAGGTGATTAGATTAATAGAGAAATAAAACAGATATTACAATTCATACAAAATACATTAATAAGAGATGGGAAATTAAAATAAAGATGTGGGGGGGGGGGGGTGTAATATATTGTACATATCAACCTCATATATATTATTTTCTAATGATATGAATGTGTTTCGATCATATGACATATAATACCTAGACTGACGATACATTCGTAATAATGCATTCAAAAGCGTTCGTCGAAAGCAAATCAGCTGGAGCCGCCATTTTGGTAACCCATATCGTTATTATCTCGATAATCAGGCAAATTCTTTTAATAAAGTTTGCGTCAAGAGACAGAGGAATAAATTGGCCCTCTCGTTTTTAAATTTTTAATGAAACGGGTCACGAAAATGGCGTCCTCAGCTGTTTTTGATTGACGTGCACTTTTTAATGAATGCATCGTCAGTCTGGGTATTATTAAATGTCGCTGATTTCAATACGTGGCATCTCCCTATTGGGGGAAAAGATTTGTAAAAAAAAAACATTAATTCAAAATTGTGCTACCATTTGTATAACCTACGATTTAAACTAAGGAGACCATCTAGTAAGATTTTGGCAAAAAAATCATTTCAATTTCTTGGATAACTTTCCCGCCATTTTTTTTTACTAAAAATAAATTCGAAAGGAAATAGTAAAACTTGTTTGAAGGATTTGTAGAGTAGTTTTATTTCGACCCTGCTAAATTTTGTCATTTGGCATAACTTCTCCATATTTTCCGGTCTGACACTTGGCACGGAGCTGTTAAGTATCTCGATGTCTTTTTCTTAAAAATAAAATTAAAAATTATACAATTTGGTGAATATAAAAGTACGTATATTTTTAGTTAAATGGTTATAGGTCATACCTAGTGTTGATAAACGGCTAAATCAATATTTTATCCAAAAGGAAAACGGCGCAAACCTGAAGATTTTGCTCGTAGAAGACCTAAAGGTCTGGACCATCTATTAGGGAAATCTTCAGAGCTTTGGGGATATTTTTCTGGCTAAAATCTTGAGTTAGCCGTTTTTAAAATCGTGCCATTTAACAAAACTACTCATTACCTTCCTCCAGAGTTGGGATAATCACAATAAATACCTATCGTAAAATTGTCCCCCGTTTAAAGAGAAATCTTTTCTTATTAAATTAACTCAAAGAATGTTCAGCTGAAAGAGATTTTAATTTTTTAAATTTAGATGAAATGATATTTAGGATCAAATAATTATCTGAAGCCAAGGGAGTAAGATGAATGGTTAAAAGAAATATGGGTTAGGGTTAATTTAAAGGTGTTAGAGATATGGGTAAATAAGAGGTTATAAAACATGTTATAGATGCTTTTTCCACCCTTCAAATATGACTGAATAAAAAATGCAAATATAAACCAGATGTTGTAATAGCAATTTCTGTCAGTTTAGATGAGTGGGACTATAATGCTTTCAGATGGGTTTTAACGGGCTAAAGTAAGTTTAATCTAAAGGCGTTCTTTTGACGAAGAAATTCTACCTTCCTTTAAAGTAGATAGTTAAAAAAGTCCGTTATCTAAAGTTGATCTTCCAAAACCTAGTCTAAGGTTTTTGGCTAAAAACTCTCGATGCAGCACATGGCACCCATGGAACCCCGATCATTTTTTTTATATTGATTGAATTAATATGTATATACTTGTAACTCAGATACATGTGTGAGTAACGTTTAGTAACTGCTTTCATTTCTCGAATTTAAATTAAATCCCCGAAAAATCCTGGTAATATAAAGTCAGAATAAGGGGGTTAGAACAGTTCGAAAACACGGGTATTTTTTAAAATTAAACTATTTTAAAATTGGAATTGAAGAAGCAGTTTTAATATTGCCCATGTGCTTTACCAATGGATCCACGAAAAAAAAAGGTTTACAGCCCCTTTGAGGACTTACACCTTTGAAGACACTAGATGCCAGAAATTTTTAAAAAATGGATGCATATCTCCTATGGGATAAAGGCAAATTAAAAGCCTTCCTATATTTTTTGTTCGTAATCTTGTCAATGTTAAATTTCTTATTAAAAAAAATAATATGAATGATTAGAATTATGTTATATTTAACAGAGCGGGATCTTTAGAAAAGTGCAACATAGATAGTTAAGTTACTCGAACTAGATTATACGCATCTTAAGATTTAATCATGTGAAGATTCTGCACAATGGGTTAAAAAAAAAAAAATTTAAACAATGAGAAAACATATATGGTTCTGTGTGTGTTTAGAGTGAAGGCAAAATATCCCCAACTTCACCTCAGAAAATAAAATTTACACCCCAGATAGCATTTTTTATGGAAGAAAGGAACCTTTGAGAAGAATTTCCCCACTGGATATGGGCCCTGAATGCTAGTCCTACTCCCACGTGTATAAGAAATAATTCGACTAAAAAAAATGCTAATTTAAAGTTTAAAACCTATGCACAAGGAAGACAGAACATTAATTAAATATTTTTTTAATACAACTTACTGTTTTGAATCGCCCAAATATAATGCATAATATATTGATAAAATTAAAAGTTAAAATATAATATTACATTACTATCTTAGTTGTTTAACATAAAACTTACCAGTTTCCATGTATTATAATAAAATCAAGTATTAATTATTAAGATAAGATGGATAAACAATTTTTATATAATTTTTTTAAAATATAAAATTAATTTTTGTGAACTGTTAGATATAATTAAAAACGATATTCTGCAAAATAAATTCAGCTATATAATATAACACTATATATTTTATTTTTATATAAATATTATATCAAATTTAATTATAAATTATTCAAAAAAATATTTAAAAAGTAAATATTGCAAATAATAACCATAAAAAATGTTTTAATTTTTTTTTTTAAAATATTATAAAATATCCAAAAATAAATTTTTTTTTTTCAATTTAACCAAAAAATATATTATTCATTTTCTTATATTTTATTTTAAAAAAAACAAACCTTTAATACTACAATCATTAAAAAGAAATTACATAAAAAATATAGTAAGTATAAGTATAGCAAAAAAATTGCCATTAAATTTATATATATTTATTAATATTTATATAGTATGTACAATTCCCAAAGTGGTAAAAGTAACTGTATAAATGATACATTATTTATTAGTATAAGAGAAAAAAAAATCTTTTATAATCATTTTTCTTGTTATACATTTACTTGAACAAAATTGAAATTTTTTTCTTATATTATTATTATTATTTATATTTTTAAATATAAGTTTTAAGAAGATGGCTTAAAAATATATAAAAAATAAATCTTATAATTTATATATATATATATATATATCCTTAAAATCAATAATAAATTTTTTTGGTATTATTAATATTATGAATTTTTATTTTATATAATGATTATGTATAATATAATGTATTATAATATTATTTGTGAATTAATTTTACTTTTATTTATAATAATAATAATAAAAAATAATAATAAATATATCTACTGAATGTAGTGGCCTCCTTCAGCCAATAAATCTTTTCTTGACCATTCCAGTAAAAAAAAAATAGGATGGCTTCCAACCCTTATCCAATTATTCAAATTGATAAATAATCCTTAACAAACGTATAAATTTCATTTGGAAGAAAAAACATATAACTATTCAAAATATTACTGTTTATAAATTATTTATAAAAAACTAGTTTAGTTATAACCGACCTAGTTTAGTTATAACCGACCTAGTTTAGTTATAACCGACCTAGTTTAGTTATAACCGACTTTAGTTATAACCGACCTAGTTTAGTTATAACCGACCTAGTTTAGTTATAACTGACCTAGTTTAGTTATAACCGACCTAGTTTAGTTATAACCGAATTTCTTTATATAATCTTGATGGAAGAAAAAATTCTCAAGGGATGGGCCTTAGCGGATTAACAACTATATCGAACATTTAATAAAACTATTTAATTATTTCTTTTTTTTGGCTTTAAAACTTCTTGTGAGAGGGAATGTTGAGTTATTAACATGAGTTTTTGTGAGGCATTACGTTAAAAAATTTAGTTAGCTATGTAATTGAAAGATATTTTCGCAAAAAAATATTAAAATCGCTCTGATTTATAAAGAAAATTTGAAACTCTGGGGTTTTTATAATCTCACTAACCCCCCCCCCCCCCCATCACCCTTCCAAAGCTAGAAATTCCAGAATTTTAGCTAAAATATTTTTCCCCAAAGCTAGAAATTACAGAATTCTGGGTAAAATATTTTTCAAAAATATTATTGAATTACTACATCTTATTGTGTTTATATTCCAATCTACATCTATAGTATCATAATGGCAGCAGAAATTAATACATTATACTAATTATTCTATGGAATTAATATGTATTTCAAATAATTTTCCTTGGAGTTATATATTACATTTACCATTTTAAAATTTCTCTTTGAAAACTTTTTCGCTACCAAAACTAAAAGTAAAATATTTCAAAAAAAATTACATGGATTTATGAGTGAGACTATAAAGAATAGCTGAAAAGCATTATATAGGAACTTAAGGAAATTTGGGCGAATTGTAGATGACGGATTTCATAAATTATGTCATTGCTGAAGTCAAATGCAGAGGCTATATATTATTATATATATCTACCTCGACTAGAGGTAAGGCAAGCCCATATCGTTTCAATATTTATATAGGGTCAATCGTAGAATATGGTGGAATAAATCTCTTTATCTCCCTCTTGGATACTTTTCTAACTAAAATGAAGTAAAAGTTCCTAATTGAATCAGGCAACACTTTACAAATCTGCAATGAAGAATTCTTCCGATATTTCAAATCTTGTTAGAGTTTTTTTTTCTCGTTTTTTAGGCTTGAAAAAAAGGAAAAATCTTTATTTTACTGTTTTTTTGGTTGTTTTTTTTCACATCCCTGTAATTTCTCTAATAAATTTTTGTTCATATAAATATATAATCCATGGCAACATAATCCTTAAAATAAAAATTGGTATTAAACTAAGTCTCAGATATGTAATGTAATGTAATGCAATGGATAGAAACAGATATACATTATATCTATATAATGATATAATGGTTATATTAACGATTAATGATTGATAGTGTTACATTAATCTTAAGCCGGATACATTAACTAGTATTTATGAGATGATTTTATTTTTAATGATAATTTATAAATGATTAAATAAAAATAACAACATATCTGCTCCGACTTGACAATAAATCCTCCCCCCCCCCCCACCCCACACCTCCCATTATTAATAAAATTTGGGGGCTTCCTTTGTCTTTTACCTCCCTTATCCCAAATGGGAACAACGAGAATTCGCGTTTATGATTTTGAGCAGTATAATCATGAAATGCGAGTGGGTATTGAAATAAAAAATAATTTTTTAGAAACCCTCGAAAATAAAGTATTGATTAGTGTTGTAATAGAGTTCGCAAATTTCTAAACATTTATATTGTTTTTTTTTATTACTGAAAATTGGATATTATTTACAATAAAATCATCACTATTCTGCCTACAGACTTAATCACAATCTATATAATCGGTGTTTGATTACCTACCAACATGGTCTATTCTGGTCTAATCGAACCCAGAGCTAATCCCTACAGATAGAGACTAAGAAGAGCCAAAAATGAATATTTCCGGAAATATTTAAGAAATCTCTCCCCTAATCTTATAGCTATAGTTTTATAACAAAAAGACTCAATAGAAATATATGAGTAATAATTTTTCAAGAATTAAAAAATATCGTTATCAATCAATGATATATAATATACAAAGAAAGGAAGGAAAGAAACAAAGAAAGGAAGGAAAGAAAGAAAGAAAGAAAGAAAGAAAGAAAGAAAGAAAGAAAGAAAGAAAGAAAGAAAGAAAGAAAGAAAGAAAGAAAGAAAGAAAGAAAGAAAGAAAGAAAGAAAGAAAGAAAGAAAGAAAGAAAGAAAGAAAGAAAGAAAGAAAGAAAGAAAGAAAGAAAGAAAGAAAGAAAGAAAGAAAGAAAGAAAGAAAGAAAGAAAGAAAAAAAGAAAGAAAGACTTACCATTCATTCATTAAAATGCATTTTTAAGCGTCGTTAAAAGCAAATCAGCTGGTACCGCCATTTTGGTAACCTTTATAATAATTATGTATATTTCCCAATTTTTTGAAATTAAAACAACAAATATATGTTATCCTAATTTTATGATCCAGATTTATATACGAATAGTTTAGGTTCTCGTTCAAAATTTTAATAATAATTACGGTAACCAAGATGGCGTCTCCAGCTGATTTGCATTGATGCACACTTTTAATGAATGAATCGTCAGTCTAGGTATATTACATGTCATTGTTATCAATATTATATCTCCTTATATAAAGAAATATTCGCAAATTTTTGTCTCTTCTTTTTTGAAATTTTTTGTATTTTCGCATTCTCATACAATAGGATAGGAACATTTTCATATATGGACTATATCACTTGATTTATTTTGCAAAATAAATCATAAATCAATAAAAAATTTATATGATTAGTATCGCCAAAGTTTGCCAAAACGATTTTGATATTTAAAAAAAAATACAACTATATTTTATCTAATCAAGATGTGTTACAAAAAATAATCAAAATATTGCTCTGGGGAGAAGATTTAGCCAAGGGTTATTATACAAATCCATATTCATTTATTTTTTAAGCTATGCATAAATAATAAATATTTCGAATAATTCCTTTTGATCTTAGAAATGAGGATCAATTCTCTTCATCTCGATTCCTAACTTTCTGGTTACAATGCCAATAAATTCTTAAATAAGCATCAATAGAAGATAGAAAGTAACAAAATAAATAATTCACTTTTCTAGTTTTAAAAAGAGGTTTTGTTTGTTTTTTTTGTCATATTTATTCAAATTCGAGTTTATTTTATACATTTTACCACTTTGTCATTTTCTTTTCGTATCATAAATTAAATATTTTACGACAAAAGCTATCGTCTCCTCTAGGTTCGACTAAATTCGGATTATGCAAATATTCACAAAATAATATTAAACTAATTAGAGAGACTATTCATTTATTTCGCGAATCTGATTATGTAAATTATTCACAAAATGATATTCCAACCAATAAAAGTATAAAATCTACGAAAAAAAAAATTGTCGTAGAATAAAATTAAAGTATTATCATTTGGCTGAGGATTAGAGTGCTCTACTGTATCCAATAGAGGGTGATTTAGCATCCAAAGCAGATGGCTAGGCCCACACCTCTGGAGCAGCTGAAATATAATGATAATTTTAATATTACGATGACTATATTAAAAATGGCGCAGTTTTAGAATTCTATTCTAAATGTTTAAATTCCTATATTTGAAGAACAACAATATCAATGGTATATATATAATATAAAATGGATGAACTAATAAGGGTAAATTGGAGTAGTCAAATGTTTTGAATTTGGAAAATTATAAAAATTTTAAATTTGGTATGATAATAATAAAAAAATTAGAGTTTTATTCAAATGGATATAATAAATTTCACAGGAATGCAAAATGGTTGTAAATGAAATAAAATAAGATTTCTGACAATAATATGTAGGGATTTTTAAGGATCGGTGTTAGACAAGAATTAAAGATACTTATTTATGTAATGAAATAATGATGGATATCACACAATTTATGTGTGTGTATATATATATCTTTCGGTAAAAGTTAGTTGTATATTTTAAAAAAAAATATTTGATTTTGTAGTAGCCAAAACAATATATAAAACAGATAATATAATAATTACAAATATTAAAA